TCCCCAAGCCTGTAGCGCTGCATGGAGTTGTCGTTGCAAGACCCGGCACTTGGCCTTTTTAAGCCTCATACAATTGTCCTTGGCCTATTGATCCAGCCTGTCCAGATATCTCTGAAGAGCCTTCCTACCCTCAACAGATCAACACTCCTACCCTACTGGGTGTCATCTACAATCTTACTGAGGGTGCACTCAATCCCCTTGTCCAGATCATTGATAAAGAGATTAAGCAGAACTCGCCCCCATACTGAGCCCTGGGGAACACCACTTGTGACCAGCCGCCAACTGGATTCAACTCCATTCACCACCACTCTTTGGGCCCGGTCATCCAGCCAGTTTTTTACCCAGTAAAGCATACGCCCATCCAGGCCATGAGCCACTAGTTTCTCCAGCAGAACACTGTGGGAAATGGTGTCAAATGCTTCACTAAAGTCCAGGTAAACAACATCCACAGCCTTTCCCTCATTCACTAAGCAGGTCATCTTGTCATAGAAGGAGATCAGGTTAGTCAAGCAGGACCTGCCTTTCATAAACCCACGCTGACTGGGCCTGATCACGTGGTAGCCCTGTACATGCCACATGATGGCACTCAAGGTAATCTGGTCCGTAATCTTCCCTGGCACTGAGGTCAGACTGACAGCCCTGTAGTTCCTCCGAATCCTCCTTCCAGCCCTTCTTGTAGATGGGCATCACATTCACTAACTTCTGGTCAACTGGGGCCTCCCTGTTAGCCAGGACTGCTGGTAAGTGATGGAAAGTAGCTTGGTGAGCACTTTCGCCAGCTTCCTCAGGATCCCTGGGCGGATCCCATCCATCTCCACAGACTTGCATGTGTCTAAGTGGTGTAGCAGGTTGCTAACCATTTCCCCTTGGATTATGGGGGCTTTATTCTGCTCCCTGTCCCTGTGTTCCAGCTCAGGGAGCTGGTAGCCAGAGAACAACTGGTCTCACTATTAAAGACTGAGGCAAAGAAGCCACCAAGTACCTCAGTCTTTTCCTCATCCTTTGTCACTATGTTTGCAGCCACATCCCAAAAAGGATGGAGATTCTCCTTAGCCCTCCTTTTGTTGCTAATGTATTTATAGAAACCTTTTTTATCATCTTTAATGGCAGTAGCCAGATTAAGTGCCAGTTGGGCTTTGGCCCTTCCAATTTTCTCCCTGCATAACCTCACCATATCCTTGTAGTCCTCCTTAGGAGCCTGCCCCTTCTTCCAAAGGTCATAAATTCTCCGTTTTTTCCCCCGAATTCCAGCCAAAGCTCTCTGTTCAGCCAGGCCGGTGGTCTTCCCTGCTGGCTCATCTTCTAGCACAGGGGATAGCCTGCTCCTGCACCTTCAAGATTTCCTTCTTGAAAAATGTCCAGTCTTCCTGGACTCTTTTGCCCTTCAGGACTGCCTCCCAAGGCACTCTGTCAACCAGCCTCCTAAAACAGGCCAAAGTCTGCCCTCCAGAACTCCAAGGTAGCAGTTCTGCTAACTCCCTCTCCTTACTTCTCCAAGAACCGAAAACTCTATCATTTCATGATCACTATGCCCAAGACGGCCTCCTACCATTGCAACACCCAGAAGTCCTTCTCTGGTCACAAACAACAGGTCCAGCAGGGCACCCTCCTTAGTTGGCTCACTCATCAGCTATGCCAGAACACAGCAGGGCACCCTCCTTAGTTGGCTCACTCACCAGCTATGCCAGAACGTTACCTTCCACACTCCAGGAACCTCCTGGACTGTTTCCTCTCTGCTGTATTGTATTTCCAGCAGACACCTGGTCAGTTGAAGTTCCCCACAAGAACAAGTGCTAGCGATTGGGAGTCTTCTCCCAGCTGCTTCTAGAATATTTCATCTACCTCTTCATCCTGGGTGGTCTATAACAGACTCCTAGCATGATGTCTGCCTTATTTGCCTTCCTCCTGATTCTTGCCCATAAACACTCAACCCCACCGTCACTGTCATTAAGCCCTAGACAATCAAAACACTCCGTAACATACAGAGCTACCCCACTGCCTCTCCTTCCTTGCCTCTCCCTTCTGGAGAGTTTATAGCCACCTACTGCAGCACTCCAGTTGTGCAGGTCATCCCACGTTTCCATGATGGCAACTACGTCATCGTTTTCCCACTGCACAATGGCTTCTAGCTCTTCCTGTTTGTTGCCCATGCTGCATGCGTTGGTGTAGATGCACTTCAGCTGGGGTATTGATCCTGCCACTTTTTTACAGGGAGACACCCTAATTCCTATGTGACTGTTCTCAGGCACTTCCATGGTGGCTAACACACCAATAACCCTTACATCTTTGCTACCACATGGGTCTCCATCTCCTACTCCACCAAGACGGCAGACCGAAGGACGTCGCTAGCACACCATCAACTCAAAACATTGGTGTACCACCCCCAGGCGACTCTCCAGTGAGCCTGGTTTTATCCTTTGCCCTCTTCGAATCTAGTTGAAAGTTCTTTCAAGGAGCCCTGCTAGCTCCTGTGCAAAGATCTTTTCCCTCCTTTGCGACAGGCATACTCTGTCTGTCGCCAGCAGGCGTGATGTCATGTAAACCGACCCATGATCAAAAACCCCAAAATTCTGCCTGTGACACCAGGCTCAGAACCAGGTATTGATTTGCTGGCTCTTCCTGTTTATTCCCTTGTCACTCCCTGGAACTGGAAGGATAAAGGAGAACACTACTTGTGCTCCTGACCCCTTAACCAGTCATCCCAAGGCCCTGAAGTCTCTCTTGATTGTCCTTGGACTTCTTGTTGCAACTTCATCGCTGCCATCCTGAAAAATCAATAACGGATAGTAATCTGAGGTCATACCAGGGTAGGAAGCTTTCTCTTCACATCTATAACCCAGGCCCCAGGGAGGCAGCAGCCTTCCCTAAGATGTGGGTCCAGTTGGCATATTGGGTCCTCTGTTCCCCACAGAAGGAAGTCTCCTATGACAATGACCTGTCTTTTTTTCTCTACAGAAGCAGTTTTGACGCAGGGTGTAGGCAAATTTAGCCTCGGTGACACCTCCGAGCTAGATGAACAATCATCCTCATCATTGTTCAGTTCCACTTGCAGAACCTCATACCTATTATGCAAGGGCAGATGCTTTTGAGCAATGGCTTGAATATACCGATTCTTGTACACTTAACTGTTGTTACTAGCTTACTAAATTATAAAGTTACCATGTGTAACTTTAGTCAGCTAAGGGTATGGAATTGATTCAGATACAGGGTTTCTCAAACAAATCTCTAATCCAGAAAAAGAGTTACAAGAGTCTTCAGCTACTTTGGTAACACCTTAAACATAAGAAACTAAGAATGGACTAACCGATCTTCAACAGCTGTAGCACCAAGTAAAATAAAATCTCTTTCTATCTTCTCATACACTTCTGCCAATTTCTTTTCCCGGTCCTGGAGGGCCAACTTTGCATTCTGAAGCAGCTTCTGTGCACTGCTATATTCTTCTGCTGACAGCTTTTTATATGCAACGCACAATGTTCGCAACCCCTCCTAAAGAATGCAATTAAAAGAAACAAAATACCTATTAGAAAACTATTCTTAGACTTCTTGCTGCTGGTTATGCTGGAATATTTGAAAAGTTGGAATGATTTTACTATTAACATGAAAAGTCCCACTTTTTTAGTGAAATTAGTATAGTACAGACTAGTACAGTATATTATAGACTAGAACATAGGTCAGCTTGAATCTGTGCTGCCCTGGAAGAAGTTACAAGCTGAGGGACAAACCTCCAGAAGAGAAACAGCTCAGCGACCCCACTGGATATATGAAGTTACCAGGGAAAGGACAGTCAAGGTAAAGGTTTCCTTCCCGATGTGTATAATGAAGCAGGATGAGTCAGAATAAATAACAATAATATAAATAGTAGCTCTGCGGAGTCTAATTTTGATGCTGCGTTGCAGCAGAGACAGGGACAGGGACAAAACATCAGAGCAGAAGTGAAAATCAAACCATGCCATTTCAGTCAAGTGAAAACCAGAATTTAGCTGTGGGTGTTTCAGATTGATTCAGACTTTTGGACTGTGTGATGAATAAGAAAGGGATCACATATATATATAGAGAGAGACTATGTAAGGTGGGAAAAAGCTGCTATAACACAGAAAGGAAGTTTTGCCACCTCAAATATACTGCCTCATACAACATCATTTAACTGGCACTTTATCTTCATAAACTTTAATACAGTAGGTCTTTGTATAGTTACTTATTGCCAATCCAAGAAGAACTGTTAAAAAAACCTCCCTGACTCTTGCTATTGATAAGGGCAGGTGCCAAGTGGCTGCCTGCATCTTCTTTCAGAAGCTTCTGTATGTAGAAGCCAGCTCTATTTCCAATTACCCAGGATGAAGAAAGAGCTGTTGGTCTGCATTTCTCTCGACAGACATTAGATAAATATGATATGCAAACACTTCTTTCAGTTTCAGTAGCCTCCTTCACTTGTAATTATTAGTCTGCTGTTTCATATAGTAAAGCCTAGCAAAGCAGTTTGACAAAGTTTTGAAGTTTCTCTTCAAAACAAAAGCAGGTAACACTGTATGTATTTTTTCACATACATGTAATAATACTTTGTTTTCAGTTTGAGTACTGCATGCCAGCAAATTTTATCCTATTTGTAAGACTGATGGTCATATTCCATTGCAATAAGTTCCGCATATTTTTGGACACAGCAAAATTCAGTATTTTACAATTCCAAATACTACCTTTTAGGTAAAACCAAGCTCTGTATTTCTTTTAAAGGTGATCAGGCAGTTCATAGCTGCAAGCATTTTAGCAAGCAAAAAATATAAGGATAAGGATGATCACGGCACTGTAAGAAGTGCATTTGTTGCTACACTGTGCTCTAATGGATTTTCTCTTTTAAGAGCTTGTAAAGTAATCAGAGGCAGCAAATCACAATTGCTAAGGCTGGGGACTGAAAGCAGGGATGACATTTTCAGTGAAGTTTTTCACTTTTCTTTCATTCAAAAGTTAATTTAAACCATCACAGTGCCATACTAAAAAAGCTAATTGATGACCTCGGGTGTAACATACAGTTATGCATATTAATGCACTCATCCCACCACAACTGCCATTTGGAAGATGAGATGGAGAACAGATTCAAATAAGGGAGTAACACAGACTGCTACCGATACAGCCTGTGCCCACTTTGGCATACAATCATCTCGGTGCCTGGGAAGACAAATCTGTTACCAGATCAAGCTGGAGGTCAGAATACTTCATTTTTTTAATTTTTTTTTTTTTTTTGACACTGATATCACATGAAAGGATCAATAAAATGGAATCTTACCACCGCATTGCGTTCAACTCTGGATCGTATTTGGTCAATTTTGCCTTCTTTAACTCTAGGAAATATGGAAGAATCTGCTCCCTTACAAAACAGAAATATATCACCTAAAAGAGACAGCATATGGAATTCAAAGAGGCCAAATACATCTTTCTTCAAAAAAATATCCAAATTACTAAGTCTTCAAAAAGATTTCTTCCAACTTTTTAATAACATTTGCACTCATGCTGTTACCCAGTGTCCTTTTTTATCAGGAAAGGCACACAGACTGTGATTAACGCTTAACTCTGATAGACCTGAAATAAACTCAAGTTAACAAAAACATCTAAGAAGAAACAGAATGTGACAGCCCTACCTGTTGAAGATTTAACAATTACACTCATTCGCCGTCTCACAGAATCAAAACTCAAAACCTCTAATAATTCAAACCTGAAACAGAAACACAATATTTTTTAAACAACTCTGTTTTTCCAAATCCCTAAACTGGTTATTATTGACTTTGAGCATTATCAATTAAAACATGAATTCTAACACGGAAAATTATGTTGAGTAATATGGAATATGGAACTAGTACAGAATGAAACAGCAGGTTACAAATAATAAAATAGGTGAGCCCCATAGCTCCTCGTTACTGGAAACCGAATTTGTCTGCATGATGCTCATAAGTATGTTTGGATGTGTAGTCAATATAATTTATTTAAGCAGAAGACTAGAAACTTTGCAGTAGAGCACCACACTGCTTATAAAGTAAATTCCTACCTATACCACCTACTCATAGCCTTAGAACTTGAAATGTGTAAAAGTTTACACAGAAATCTTTATTGAATATTTTTCTAATTTTGACTATTTCTCTCTCTCAAAAGTGCCCACCTAACTTCATGAATCTTGCTCAAGTGTTGACTGACAAGCTATTCAAGTGAAAAAAACTTTTTTTTTTTTACTGGTTTTACATTTCTCATTGTTTTTATGATTTCACTTTATCCTATGTTCCTTTCCTTTCTAGGAGGAAAAATGAACACAAGCTCCTGTTGTCTGTTTCTGTATAATTCACCAGTTTATATAGTTTTACAATTTACTTATTTATCTATTTCCTTTTATCTAAGAGAGTCCCCCTCTTTTTCTAGCACAAACATAAGCACCCCAGTCATTAAACCAAATCACTTCAGGATTCACCTCTTAATATTTTGCTTATAAAATAGATGATCTTATTTAGACCGTTCAGTTCTAAATCCTTACAATGCCTTAGCAGTCAAACCTGTGCAAAGCTCCAGTGTTTATTTCATTAAAAATTACAGCAGATTCTAACAAGGAGCTGGGTCAGGCCTATATCTACAAACCGTGCTGCATTTTGGAGAAAAATCTTAATAATTATAGTGCTTTCATAAGCACCAAATTATACTGACTCCAGTTCTTTTAAGTTTAGCCACAAAAGTCTGAAGTAACCTTTGGGAAAAATCCCTCACATTCCCCTAAAAGGAGGAAAAATAACAGCAGGATTCCTGTATTTGTGTCCAAGAGTCCCTGTGTAGTTAGGAGAATACACATGCAGGAAGACACTGATACACAATAGCCTTAACCAGCAGACACCTACAGAAGTATAAGGTAACATTTTCAGAAGTATGTACATCCCATTAAATACTTGTACTACTTAAATGTTATTGAAAAGTTTACTCATGTTATGGTCTACAAGATTTATTCTACATGTCAAAGGAAAATGATAAAAAACCGTACCCATTTAAATTTTTTTTGGAACCAGCTATAAAAATTTATTCTATAGATATTATCCTCCTGCAAATTATATGGATTAATGCTGAACAACAAATGGGGTACATACCACTTTCTATTAAGAGAATACTATTTACCATATAACAAAGGAAAAATACCCATAGTTCCTAAAGCTATTCATTCAGGTCATGAACCCCACACCACACCTTTGTTGTTGTATTAATATTTCGTACCGCATATACTGTCAAATTAACAGACTAAGTGAAAATATAGAACTACAAGGTACATTAAAATTATAAGTATTAGTAGGTCATTAATTTTGCTACTAAATGTACCATTTCTGACTTGTCTTTTTTTTTTAGGGAAAGAATAATTTATTAAACACATCAGTAAAGAACTCCTCATCTGTCTATTTTGTTATATTTTTAACTACTCACTTCTCTATGTTATTTTCCCGATTTAAGATCTCCATAAAATTGTCTTTCAGCCTTAGATAGGTGTAACCAAGTCTGTAAAATGAAACACACATCAAAAGAATGACTACAACAAATATAATTATCCAGTTTAAGTACATCATAAGGATTTCAGACTGAGCCCATCTTCTGAAAAAAATCCCAAACTGCTTCTATTTGATTTATGAATATGAATAATCATGACTGTACGTTAAGAACATCAGCAGCTCTAGATGATTTACTGTCTGCTATTATGATTTCTGTGCTGAAACCAATTTTGAACTTCAGTGATTAGATCTCTAGATTTAAAAGTTATAATACCTAATTACACACATACCTCTGTATTCCCTCAACTAAAGCAACTTCATCAGGTGATGACGAAATATATATACAAGATCTTCTTGACAGACGATTTCTCTTCAACCCATCTACACTGTCATCATCTTTCACTTGAACAGTGTGACAAAGACAAAGAGCTCGGAAAAATAGTTCCTCTCTCTCCTAAAAAACAAAAGGAAGTTGGTTGTCATGTGTGATCACTTTCAAGTATTCCTTTGAAAACTCTTCTTTTGGAAGGTTAGCAATGTCACTGATTATTACTATTTATCATCAGATAAAGGCAGTGTCATAGGTCACCTGCACTTTAGGGGGAGCCAAGTCTTTCCCAGTAGTAACCATGCAACTGCTTAATAGCTGCTAGTGCTACTAGCAGTGCCATGCAAGTCAAGCTGCTGATGCCCCCCAAAAAACGTGTGCATCTTTTGCCTCAAGTTTCAGATGGTTTGGTAATGACAGCTTCCGAGACCAGAAAGAGATTTCTATTTCATGGATGCTTGGCTGTGTTCTACCTGTCTATGTGTCTGAATCTTTTTACGTGCTGTTCAATACAAACTGTATGTGTCATTGTAATTCCAGGGCAAAAACACAGCGCATCTTGGCACCACATTCTGAGTGCCATGGGTGAGAGCCTTAAGACCGTTGAATTACACCAATGTACTTTAAGAGGCCTTGTTTTGCCATAGTGAAGGGTATGGCCAAAGTATGATTTGAGACTGTATTGATATCTTTAAAAATATATTACCCTCTGGCTATGATCATCCTGCTCATTTACATCCTGCTCATCAGTCGACATGTGAATTCTCCTTAACTTCCAACTAACTTTGCTTTACACAGCAAAAAAGTCACAGCCACATGTATGCTGTGTGAAGCCCATGTAAAAGTAATTTAATTTGACCATAAACCATTCTCTGGACACATCTTCACTCAGTGATGACTAAGTAAGCATTTGCACTGAGCACTCATTTTCCCCCTTGAGGAGTTTCCTACTTTGAATTCCCTATTGTAGCTAATATTAAACGCAAACCAGCTATTACCGTTTTTTAGCTATCAACGAGAGAAAGTTCTATATTTTGGGGTTTTATTTAATTCAGTTTTACAGCGGCAGTAAGTTAGGAAACTTCCTATTAAGCCTTTAAATCTTGCTCTAAACTAGGAAAGGAAAATGTCCATGTCGTGATGCATTTCCTGAAGTTACCTGCTTTGATTAGTGAAATTCAAGGATGTTATATTCCTAATATTTCCTTCATCAACACAGTTAAATTTTCACGTTTCATTGTAAAAAAACCAAGAACCTAGAAAGAGTCATCATACCTTTCCACTTCCTCCTGGAGAAGAATCGATCATATCAATGCCTGTACAATCATGGAGAATTTGGCCATTGCAGATAACATGTGGTATATAAACGTGCCCTTCAATGCAACATTCTACGAATTCCATGTTGTTCTCAGTTAACGTTCCTGTTTTATCTGTGAAGACATA